TAAAAGCCCAAATTTTTTTCACCAAAAGATTATTTATTTACTTAGCTTTCTTCTAATTATTTCTAAGATAATGTTTTTGACGTTTCAGGCAAGGGTTAACTGTTTCAAGGAAATTTTGGTACAAAGTTTTATGTTCATATAGTTATGTAAAATTTACCTGAACCTTTTATTTTTTAAGTATATGTTAATCATGTAAGCATTCATTTTAATGTTGACCAAACATTTTGTACAGCTCCTGTGGCATTTTGATCATCTTCATAAGAAAATTGATTCTTTTACTTATATATCTTGAAATTTTTTATACAGTCAAAAGTCGTTAATTCGGACACCCATAATCCGGACCTCAAAGCTACAAACTTTCTGCATGCGTCGTTGACGCATGCGCGTAAGACCTTTACGGCTGCGAATTTGCGTGTGCGCGTGCCAAAATACGTTTACGAATGCGCGTTTAATGTATAACGGACGGGATAAGCTAAGCTAAAATTATCTAATTATCTATTTCAGTTAATGTTGCAGATTGCGTTGTTCCTTAATCTTCGAATTGGATCCGGCTTATTATTTTTTGCAGACTGTTAGAGCAATTTTATAAAAGTAAGCTTGAACTTTCGATTATGTCAAATAGAATTTCCTGATATATATTTACTAATATGTAAAGGATATACAAAGCGAAAGTATCTTTCGGAGTCCATTAAACAAAAAGAATTGGAAATGGAAAAATATCCATTTGTTTATCTAAACTTTAACGTTTGTTTATCTTTAATGCCACGCGCAGCGCAATGAATTGGAAGTTGATCTGTCAGCACTATCCTTATCTTAAGGGCAGATGTTTTTTATTTTATTTGGCTTATAATTGCTTACTAAATGTAGTATTTCATCTCGATGTACTCCGGCTTTGATATGATTTAAATCAAATGCCTCGTCATTATAATTCGCTTCCGATAGCGAAGAAAGTGACAGAGGTTATTGAAAACGAAAAAATTTCGATTGACAAATTAGTCGGTATTCTCGACACAGCAATTATAGGACTTGAACAGCGGAACTTTGTAACTGAACAAGAAATTATGTCTGTTTATAGAATTAAAGAGAATGTATTATCACATAAAAACAAAAAAAAACAAGCACTTAAACAACTTACATTGAAAGAAATGTTTAATAAAGTAAAAAAATAAATATTAAGCTTTTTTTTTTTTGTAAATTTTGGTACCCTTTAGATCATAATTGTTCTTTATTTCATAAATTACGATTTCATATTTTTAATTTTATAATTTCTGCATGCCATCTTACCAGATTTAAACTGATGATCTATAATCCGGAAAAATCGATAAACCGGAATCGACGAAGTCCCGATGAGTCCGGATTAACGACTTTTGACTGTACATATTTTTATTTCCAATGGCAAGCACTAGCTGTTATAGGTGTTAGCCATTACTAAGGCTGGAGGCGGTGGTCACATTATTGTATAGGCATCTAATAGGTGGAGCAACGTTGCCTCCTATAAAGGGATAGATAGTTTACATCCATGCCTTCTCCGGGATTTGACCCCGGGCCCTATGATATGGCAGTCAAAGTCACTAACTACTTTTCTGCCTGGGCGGCATGGATCCGTATAGATTATTTTATTATTTTGACGTACTTTTGAACATGTGCTACTTGGATACAAGCAGTAGTGATATTCAGCTATTTTGCATCTGCTTAACAGAATCATTATCTAAAACATTTTCAATTTGGCAAACTGGTTGTTAACATTGAATCCATATAGCCAGTTTGTCACTTAATGCCACCTTGATCAGCATAGTGGTTAACAAAGCTGTCTGCCATATTGTTTGACTGAATAATTAGGGCAGAGGTACTATGTATGTAAAACCATAGGTGAAATCCTGGTGTTTCGCCTGCTTTCCCCTGTCTTTTCACTAGAGACCGAGGTAGTGTCGAAGAAGAAGTGGCATGTAGGAGTGCATGTGATATTGTCAGATCCCACCAGATGCATGTGTGATAACGTCGGAGCATGTTAAAAGGCATTGTTCGCATAATGAATGCCTCCAAATGGTGTCAATGCATGATCGTGCAATTTTTAACAGCAGAAAAATTTTTAACATCAGTGCTTCTGAAATCTATCATCGAATGCAAAATATGTATGGCATGGAGTGTATGAAATGCGGATTGGTATTCCAATGGTATAGGACTTTTGTAGTGGAAGAAGTAGTACTGATGACAGGCACAACCTGGTCAAGGGCATATGGTGATCACCCGGGAAGTAGTTGCAGATGTGGACTATATCGTGAAAATGAATATATCAACCACTCGAGAAATATCGGAGGAAATGTCTATCGGCACCAATACTGTATGAAAGGTTGTGCTACCTCAAGGTTTGTGTGCAATGGTTGCCAAAACATTTGACAGAGGAGCAGAAGTTTCATCTCATGTCTGTTTCCATGCAACACCTCATGTGCTATCATGAAAGCGGAAACCAATTCCTCTCAAGGATCTGGTGCCATCGCTTTGATCCAGCCACCAAAAGCATGATCATGGAATGGCGACACTCTTCATCCCCATGCCCAAAGAAGGTTCGCACGTCCACCAGAGCTGGTAAATTCATGTTAACATGCTTCTTTGACATTGATGACCCACTATTGTTGGAAGGGCTTCTTACGACACGACTGTCACTGCTGCCACATACTGTGCCACATTACAGAAACTGAGACAGAATATCAAGAACCACCAGCGTGGTATGCTGTCACACGGGATTATCCTCTTGCATGATAATGTTCATCCTCATGTGGCTGTGGCATGCTAAATGTTACAGCAATTCTGCTGGGAGGTTCTCGAACATCCCTCTTACAGCTTGACCCTCTCGTCGTGTGACTACCACATCTTCCATCCACTCAAGAAATCTGTTGATTTGCCAACAATAATGAGGTCCAAGCTGCCATTGAAAATTGGTTCCACAATCAACTCCAGGAGCTTTTTCACTCAGGGTATCCATCATCTTGTTGACTACTGGGACACTTGTTTCAACCTACAGAGTACTCTTTTTCTAGCTGTCTATTACATCTGTATTACTTCTTTCTTTTGTATTCTAATTTATATTAATATTATTAAACCATTTCTCAAACCGATTATGTTTTAGAAATGGAGTATTCAGTTTTGTTTTGTAATGCATCTTGTATTTTTCATTATTTACTTTCATTTCTTAAAACAGTATTTTGGTGAGAAAATTTCTACTTAAAAATGTAATGCTTAAGTCTTGAAAAAAATAAAGTGGAAAATAAAAGTCATTTTATAATCATAAATGATATATTGAAATAACAAAGATATTTATTTTTCATAGTTTGTATATTTCATTACTTTATTTTCCTTTCATACCTGTTTAAATCCTTAAAGCCTCAAATGGTTCATTATTAAACAGTTTCTCAAAAATTAAGGAAATATTTGCATATCACATTGAAAGAAATAATTGTATACATATTTAATGTTTTTGTACACACACGTATGGTGCAGGGGTTATCAACTAGGGGAAATTCCTCCAGGCAGAGAATTTCACAGTTTTAGGGGGAATGCAGTCAGCCTTTAATTTACTTCTTATGTATTTAGCTTTAATTAATGAATATAAAAAAATTCTTTACTATTATTTATTTGATATTTATCAATATTTTCTATACATTTTCAGTTTTAATTTATAAAGCACATTAAAAATAATCTCAATTTATATAAATATATTTGCATTTGTCTAGTTTGGGAAAGGGGGGTGATTGTCTAGCCAAAGTAGAATATTGATAACCACTAGTATAACATTTGTAACAAATTGTTAATTTTGTTACTAATTAATGTTTTTAAAATTAAAACTGGATCTAATTAAAGCATAGTTACAACAGCCAATGTGTACATGCTTATATTATCTCTAATATTAATTTACTAATTTCTTAACTAAAAGGTTTAAAAAATAAGGAGAAATTTCTTTTTAAGTTGAATAATAATAATAATAGTTTAAAAATTACCACTGATGGCACTTTTTTTCCCTTTGTTTCTTCTTTCTGCATATACTAATTTGCAAAATTGTATTTTCAGAGTGGAAAATATTATGAAAAATTCAATACATGAATAAAATAAACATGTATTGAATTTTTCATGCATATTGAGTTCTGTAGCCTAACACAATAATTGTCAAAAGATACATATTATATTTACTTGCTTTTAAAAACCTTATATATTTTACTTCTTTCCTTTTTCAGCATATGACATATAAATTTCTAATATATAGTAACATAAATGATAAAGAAAATAAAATACACTGTGCAAGTTAAAAGAAAATTACTGAAAGTAATAATTGTACCTGACTTCTTTGAAATACAGAATACAGTAATATCAATTTGTCTACTGATATGTGCCTTATTCTTTGTTTAATTCTTTCTCTCAGAATAATATACAGTACATAATATTCCACTTTTGATTTTCAGAAGATTAAATTATTGGGAAAAATGCATAAATATTCACTATATTGAATACTATCACTGTTAAATTGCTTTTAGATTAAGAAAATATTTGTCTCCTTACTTTGAAAATTTCTCATTTTGTCATTTGAAATAAATTTGCATAAAATTTCTTTAATAGGGGAAAGCAGTTATGTTTTCTTCCAAGGCTGAATTTCAAAATAAAAGCATTTTTATTGTATATTTCTTCGGACATGGGGAAGTATATGTTCTTTCAGCAGAAAGTAGTAGTTGTATAGTTAATTTCAGGAATGTACATTGACTGAATTGTTAAAATGTGATTTTAATTACAGTTTCTTTTCTATTGAAAAGTCTTCCCAAGTTGAATTTACAAATATTTTGTATTAAATGTGCTAAACGTATTGCTTATAAAGAATTTACTTTCGTGCTTTTTTCAGTATGACTATTGCAATAAATATTAACACATATTAAACTTCATAAATGATAGTTTGAATCGTATAATTTTTTGTTATAAATTTTTCTTATTAACATCATATTACTTTTATATTTAAGGTTTTCTTTCCTTAGTATTTTAGTGTAAATAATTTATAAATGTGATACAGTGTGAATATTGCTTCACTAACTGTTAAGATATAGATATTGTTACATACGTATTTGTGCTTATGTTAAAGGATTCAAATTAATTGCAAACCTTTTTTACATTTCAGGACCTAACAGCAATATTATTAGTTTCACAACATCGATTGGACCAAATAAATGTACATTTCATTCATGTACGTACTGTTCATATTGCTCCTACAGAAAAGATCATATAATCAAGCATTTACGAAAACACACAGGGGAGCGACCATATGTTTGCAAGATCTGTGGAAAAGGTTTTACACAAAAGCATAATCTTGTGTCACATTCATTTTCTCACTTCGTATCTGACAAATAAAATTGATGAAATATGACAAAATGAAACAGTCGAGTGTCATGTATATAATTGCTTTGTTAGTCTGTTTAAGAACATACTAGAAATATATAAATTATTTTTGCTTGAATGTAAATTTTATATTTTTAATGAAAATAAGTGTATGAGCTTTTAAATCTTTTCTTTTGAAAGGTACTGCTGTTTGAAAATTTGGTAATTTAAACTTAGAAGAGTTACAGCTCATTTAAATAAATTATGCTAATTAGATATATGAATGAAGATAAATCATTGATTAAATCTAATTAATGTAATGAAAACAATATATGGCTGAAGCTACCTTGTAATAGTTTCATATATTTTCCCTCCAAACTTTAGTATATTAAATTCTATTTCTGTTTTTCTTTTATATATTCATTATTTTATCTTAAAAATTTAACCTTAGAAAAAATTTATTATTTTAATATGGTATATACTGCCCAAAATACAAGTTCATTAAGGTGATTCGGTATTCTTTTTTGTGTGATTTTTTTTTTTTTTTTTTTTTTTTTTTTTTTTTTCAATGTGTCTATCAGAATACAGAATGTTATATTTAACCAATTTTCCAAGTTTTCAGACTCCTCACTTAAAAAAATTTTTAATATATAATATTTGATATGATTTCCATTTTTATAGCTTTGTCTGGAATAACTTATTAGATAACTATTATAGATTTAACTGGAATAATCATCTCTGTCATGGATAATGCTGAAATTAACATTTCTCAGTCTAAAAGTACTGTGATTGCTTTTGTCTATATTATTGTATTGGTTATATTGTGTTGGATATCATATTGTGCATAATCTGATGGAATTCTATATAAATAAATTCTCCTATTATATAAATTTCTTCTATACGTGAAATTTTTTGTATTCAAATATATTAAGTATTTCTATAATAAAGTTAGAAAATTGGTGGACATTTTGTAAAATTTTAATTTATGTTTCATTTAGAGAAACATAATTTTATTATACCTTAGCTTTTGGAAGTCTTATAAAGATTGTGCTTGTGTTTTTATACCTCATTTATTCAATTTTTCTTTTCTTTCAGGCACTAACTACTATGAAAGAAGTTACATAGCATCATTTGGACAAAATAAATGCATTTTATACACATGTACCTATTGTCCATATAGGAGTAACAAAAAAGATAGCATGATAAGGCATTTGAGAAAACATACTGGTGAGCGACCTTTTGTGTGTCAGACTTGTGGAAAAGGCTTTACACAGAAGCATAATCTTGTGTCACATTCATTTTCACATTTCAGATGAAATAACTAACTGAAGATCAAAGTTAATTTAGTGTTCCTTATTGCTGTAAAATTTTATTTTTAGGTTCTGATGATGAAATTTCAAATCAGTCCTATGCATTAAAGTTTATTTTTTCGTATCATTTTTCTATTTGAAAATACGTTGTGTGTGTTTGCCTAAAGTTTCAGTGTTGCACATTAGTGAAAAACTACAAAGAAATAAATGGTCATGCTTTATTTTATATTATTATCTAAAGCTACTAAACTAAAAATGGGTAACATGTACTGCAGTAAACTGTTATATTTAATTAGATTATTTGCTGTAGGATTAGCCATTTGTTAATGCTCTAAGAAGGCAGAATGTGTGAGAATAAGTAGACGCTAGAATTGTTAAAAAAGATCAATATACAGTACAAAGTCCGTAATCCGGACACGCATTATCTGGAATGATCTATAATCCGGACCTCAAAGCCACAAACTTTTTTTTTTTTTTTTTTTTTTTTTTTTTTTTTTTTTTTTATGCTTTACGCATGCGCTTTGGGAGATTGTGTCTCCAGATACATTAAAAAATGCTTGACATAATTTATGGCCAGCTACCATATTTCATAGTGAGGACGAGGAAGATGATAGCCACGAATTTGAAGGTTTTCGGACATCGCAAATTAAAGGTGAAATTTTCCAGTTATTGGATTTTGTAAAAAAATGTGGAGAAGCGGTAATAAATGAAGATGATATAACAGACGTTTTTCATTGCAACAACAATGCCCCAATCATCAATCAATTAACGGATGGCGAAATCTGTAGTATGGTTCTAGATCCAGAAAATACTGCTTTTGATTGACAGAGAGGTTATTGAAAATGAAAAAATTTTGATTGACAAGTTAGTCGGTATTCTCGACACAGCAATTACAAGATTTGAACAGTGGAACTTTGTAACTAAGCAAGAAATTATGACTGTTTATAGAATTAAAGAGAAAGTATTATCACAAAAAATAAAGCAACTTAAACAACTTACATTGAAAAAAAATGTTTAATAAAGTAAACAAATAAATATTAAGCTTTTTTTTTTTTTTTTTTTTTTTTTTTTTTGTAAATTTTGATACCCTTTAGATCATAATTACTCTGTATTTCATAAATTTTGGTTTCATACTTTTAATTATATAATTTGTGCATGCCATTTTACCAGATTTAAACTGATGATCTATATTCGAGAAAAACCACTAATCCGGAATCGCCGAAGTCCCGACGAGTTCGGACTATGCACTTTGTACTGTAATAATTAGTGCATCCTTCTGAATACTGAGTAATATCTCTAATAAATGAATAGTAATATATTATTGTAATATTTATGAAGTAATAATTATATAATCTGTACTAATATATATATTCATGCTTTCTTTGAAATGATTTATGTGTTCATGAAAGCCAAATGAAGAGAAGCAACTATTGTGTTTGTTACAAAATAGTTTTTTTAAGAACTTACAAATCGTAAAATGAAAAAGTTCTCGTAAATTTTGAAATTTTATGTGTTATATCAGAAATGTATTACATTAGGCAATATAGATTTTTAACTTCGTCATAAAGCAGCTTGAAATGTTTGAACATTCACCACATTTATCTAATTTGTCATTATGTGTTTAATAGTTATCCACCAGAAAATGCAGGTATTATATAAATATACGTATGGATTTTTAATTTATTTATCAAAATACAAGAAATACAGTAGTTTTTCCTTGTCTGCTGGCAGTTTGTTCCAGACATGCCTCAGACAATAAAAAATGGTGTATAGAACAGAATTTTCCTATAGCATGCATAAATTTGATAAAACTTAATCGATAAATTTTACACCATATGGCATAATATATATCAGTAAGCAATCATGAAATATACACTGCACAGTGTATTAATGCATGTATTGCATTGTTAATAAAGTAATGCAAAATTTACTCTATATTATGTCATATTCTCTCTCTCGGCTTTAAATAACAGAGTGAAAATTTAAACTGATCCATAAAAGATAAATCAGAAATTTAGACATACAGTTCCTGTACTGTGTAATATATTTCTTGTTCTGTTTCAAAAGGAAATAATAAATCTCTTTTTCTACCAAAGCAATAAAAAAAAATATGGCTATAAATATTAGAATGGAAATTACGTGTACATACTTGTACATAACATACATTAAGGAAATTTCACTTTTAGAAAGGCATATTAGCTTATGATATTTAGTGACATCTATAATTATGTGACATTAGTACAGTATTCATGATGAGGGGAGGAAATAGAATAATTGTGTGCCTGTATTATATCGAGGAAATAGTATAAGTGTCATCGTCTTTTGAAGCTGAAGAAAAAATAAATTTTTAAGGCTTTTCCCATTTTCATTATCATTTTATCCCACACTTATAATAACCTTTAGTTAATTGTGCAACAGAAAAACTAGCTGGAATTTTTCTCTTATTCAGCACTTCATAAATTAAAGATTCATTCTTACCATAAAACCTACCAGTCTTCACATATGGTTTCTGTTAAACTTAGAAGTCATTGTAGTGTAAATAAGAAATTTCTGACCAAGGAAGCTGCAATAAAATTTGTTGTAATAGTGCATGCATTTATATATTCTCTTGATAGCTATGGGAGTATAGCGCTTAGCTTGTTTTAGTGTCTGTATTTCACATTTTATCTTAGCTTGTTTTAGTGTCTGTATTTTCACATTTTATAAATTGGGAAAAAACCCTAATCTGGAATCGCCGAAGTCCCAACGAGTCCGGATTATGGACACTTTGTACTGTACTAAATATACATCAGTGTCTGAAGAGATCATATTTCATACTGATGCATTTTTCCTTATTTCGAGCAGAATGAGCATTTTTTATAACTGTTGAAAATAGCTGTATAGAGGGCCTTTTTTTCTTTTGCTTATCTTGTATTGCCATGTGCCAAAATCTGTAGTGTTGCATGATAACAATATTTTACAACTTCAATTAAATACAGTCAAAAGTCTTTAATCCGGACTCATCGGGACTTCAGATTAGGGGTTTTTCTGGATTATAGATCATCAATTTAAAATCTGGTAAGATGGCATGCAGAAATTATAAAATTTAAAACATGAAACTGTAATATATGAAATAAAGAGCAATTATTATCTAAAGGGTATAAAAATTTATCAAAAAAAGCTTTATATTTATTTGTTTACTTTATTAAACATTTCTTTTAACACGCATCTTTCAACGTGCACATGCGTAAAGCATACATTACACATAGTCAAAATTAGAAAATTGCAACCAGAAAACTATTTGATATGTAGTTGTGATATTTATAATGACGAGGAATTTGATTTAAAGCATATCAAAGACGGAGCACATCAAGATGAAATACTACATTTAGTAAGGAATTATAAGCTGAATAAAATAAAAACATCTGCCCTGAAGATAAGGATAGTGCTGACTGATCAACTTCCAGTTCATTGCGTGCCGCAACATCCCCCCCCCCTGTGAGCAGCATGAAATTGATAAACAGGTTTTGGAATGGTTAGAGAAACAAAGAATATGCCTTTATCCATTTTTTGCAGCAATTCCACTTTTTTTTTTATGGACATCGAAACATGCTTCTGCTTTGTAAATCCTTTGGCAGCTCCAGAATCGGAAATTCTTTTTGACATAATCGAAAGTTCAAGCTTACTTTTATAAAATTGCTCTAACAATCTGCAAAAAATAATGAGCCGGATCCAATTAGAAGATTAAGGAACAATGCAATCTGCAACATAACTGAAATAGATAATTAGATAATTTTAGCTTACCTTATACCGTCCGTTATACATTAAATGCGCATGCGTGAACGTATTATGTGGATGCGTAGACGCATATGCGCATGCGTATGCGTAAAGGTATTATGTGCATGCGTTAACACATGCGCAGAAAGTTTGTAGCTTTGAGGTTCGGATTATAGATCATTCCGGATTAAAGACTTTTGACTGTATATGCCAAGTCTTATTTTTTGAGCAATGTCTATTATTAAGTGTGAGAAAAAATAACCCTTAGCTGTTATCAAGCAGCATATATGCCAACACTGTCAGGTTTGCACATGTCACCAGTTGGCTCCAGCACTACTCTGATCACTATTAAATTTTTAGCTCTTGTTTTTCTTGTATTGGGTAATTTTAAATGAAAGCATCCTTATGGTTTCTTCCCCAGCAATTAATTATCAGTGTATCTTGTTGCATTGTCTTTGTCAAATTTATTATATTTTACTTTATGTATCACCTTGGAAATTATATATTTATATTTTGAAATCAGTCTTTTTTTTCCCCAATAAAACTTTTAGTTTATTGAAAATTACAAAAAGCTGTGTTAATAAATAATGTTTATACGTTTTTTAAAAAATGAATAAAAAATTTGTGAGTTTAGTTTCTATATTTTAGTTGATAATTAAAGAGAAAAGTGCTTTTATATGATTCCCATTTCTCATAATTTATGCTCAGTTGGTTTAGTGCAGGGATGGGCAAACTTTTTCAGTCGCTGCCCAAAAATCGAAAAAAAAAAAAACTTTAAGGCCAAGATAAATTTTAAAAACAATAGACAAGTATTATAATTTTAAAATGTTAATGAGATGAATGAAATTGCTGTTTCATTTTTAAAAGTTCCTTATATTGAAGTTCGAAGTGAGATGTACTGATTCTAAGGAATGAGGTTAAATGCTCATCTGTCAGTCTACTTCTGAAATAATTCTTTCTAAGATTCATAGTTGAAAACACTTGTTCACATATATAAAATGAAGCAAACAAAGCACCACTTTTCTGGGCGTGAGATATTAAATTTGGGAAACTTGCTTTTGATAATGATTTGTAAAACTTTCGATTTGGCATATTTAGAAACAACTACTTGAGATGATTGATAGATTGTAACTCAATTAATTCAAGCTGCAAATCTGACCTCACTGCTTCACAATTTACATTGAAAAGCATGGTAAAAATATTCAATTCTGTTTGAATGGCACTGAAATCTGCATTCGAACTCAAAATGCAGTTTTTTTTCAAGCCATCTTTGTAATTCTTAAGCTTCTCTTCATTTACTGAGGGCATTAAATTTAACCTCTGGAAATGAGAGAAGTTGTTTTTAATCTAGCTGCCCAGCAAACAGATTAAGTTTTAATTTAAAAAGCTTTGAAATGGGCACAGATATCGTCGATAAATTGATTTCTCCCTTGCATCTTGGCATTCAAGTTGCTCATATGACAAAGAAGATCTGTGAAAATGCAAAGTCTGAAAGCTATTCTGTATCTTCTAACGTTTCGCACTCCACAGCACACTATTTCTCATGGAAGAAGGACACAATATCATCTTTCAACTGCCAAACTCGCTCAAAAACACATCCTGCACTAAGCCACCTTACTTTCGTGTATTTCACTACATCAAAGTATTCAGATTGCATGGACTGAAGAAAATCTTGAAATTGCTTGTGATTAAGCCCATGAGATAGAATAGTATTTACAAACTTCACGACTGCATCAAGCACGGGCTTCATATTCAATGCAGATTTAAACAGAGTATCTTGTAAAAAAAAAAAAAAAAAATTTTTGTTCCCAGGATAGTTTTGATTAAAGAATACAAGAAATCCAGAATATTTTTCCTGTCATATTTGATTCTCCATCAGTCGTAATATTATATATATTTGTTAAAGGCACTTTCAAAGTTAAGAGCCCTTTCTGAAATTCACGAAAAATTCACTTTACCGATTGAAATCTGTGCTTGCTATTTCTGTCGATTTATGTTTGTGGAACAAAAATAGAGAATGCAAAAAGATCATCAGTCCTTTGAAAAAAAGTAAAAAAAAAATAATATTTAAACGAGGTAAGAAAAGGAGTGTGGTATATAATATATTCAAGTGGTTACCAAAAGTGTTTGTACTCTAATGATTTTCATTGAATTAGAGCTCTATCCATTAATTAAAAGTAAACTTTCTGAATGAGATTTTAATAATAAGATCTATAATCTATTCGTAACAAAATTACATGAAATATTTTTTAAATATAGCAAAACTTTATTAATTAATTACTCTTTTAATTTGCCTCAAACCAGCAAATTAAAACTGTATCCATGGCGGGCCGGAGTTGGCCTGCTGGCCTGCGGGCCATTGTATGCCCATCCCTGGGTTAGTGTATAGCCAAATTGCAAATGTAATCAATCAATCTAAGTAATATTCAAGTATCCATGCTTAGAATTTCACAATTATAATAACAATACTAATATTTTACTTAATTACAAGAAAATGAAAATTTTTTTTATTTAATAAAATTAAATTTTAAATGTTTTTTAAATTTTGACTCAAACACAATCAAATTAATTTTTTATTTTCTATTAGATTCAGCTCCATGCATAGGAGATCTAGGCAGCTGTTTTGGACATTGATTTACAGAGGGCTTCAACTAAGTTCTTATGTGCAACAATATCTTGGTTGGGCAACAGGTGTAAAATATTAAAATAATGCATTGTTAAGCATACTTACAAATCCAATATCTGGATATATGGTGCAAAGACTGAGGTGCAGTGGATGAAGGCCCTTGTTTGTCACTGAAATCATTGGAGTGTTGGGTATTTCCATTCATTAATATCAAAATAACAACATTGATATTCAAAATAAAATTGAACATTTTTTGTTCTTTACTGAGGGTGAAACTTTCCATCATAAAATCTTCAAGTGTTAGCTTTACTGCCCTAAAAAGGAAAAAAGCTGAGAACAAGCGAAAAAAAACTATATATTATTTTAATCATAACTATAATTAAGTGCCATCTTATACATTCATATGTGCCAAATACACTGTCATAAAATCCTGATCCAGAGATGTCCAAATTTTTTTCACAGTTCTATTATGAGTAGGTGCACCAACAAAAGTTTTTCAAAGCTGAAGTTCATAAAGATATTTCTGAGATCATTTTTAAGTCAAGAACAATTGATTTCTCTTGCACTTCTTCAATAGAAAATAATACTGCTAAAAGAATTACAGTAAAATGACATTATTGGCTTCTCTTTCAAAAAGCATATAAAGTTCATTTATAACAGGTTGCATGTATTAAAAATATTTTTAACTGTAATATATTATATATATATATATATATAATTATTTCCTAAACAGTATTGATTAATTGATTATATTATCTCCTAAGTTTAATTAAAGTAGAATTATTTTAAAAGTGTGAATCCATACTGGTAAGTTATATTTTGAAAGATGTTTTGAAGTAATTTGAAAGCAAAATGTTAATAATGTTTTAACGGGGACTGGAGTTAAATCATCATGAAGAATAAAATTTCAATTGTAAAAGGAAAAATTAAAACATGTAATCATTGTCATTGATCGGAAATTAGTTGACTTTTCAAGGGGAACAAACCAACTCCCGTTCAATGAACAATAATTGATAAAAATACGTAAATACGAAAGTGTTTCGTCTTTACTCGAGTTATAAGTTAAAGCCAAACCGGCAATTCTAGTCAGGCCAAATATTTCCGCGAATAGAAGGAATTATGAACCAATGCTGATACTCAAAGAACTTATTCTTATGAAGCATTTTAGTCAATTCAATTTGGAGTAAAAATCAATTACTGTAGAGAAATTCTATTTAATTAACTCGAGTAACCGTCCCCGACACTTTCATGTTTATGCATTTGAGTACTATATTATTTGTAGAAATTAAACATTGGAAATTGTCATTATGAAATCGAATTCAAAGTAAAGTTGAAATAAACATAGAAGATTACAAAATAAGATAAATAATGCAAACTTTGTAAAAACAAATCAAAGACAATATAAAAATAATATAGAAAATAATATAAATAAGATCAGTGAATGTACATGAAGATATAAAGGCCAGAAATGGTATTAAGTAACTTACATTCTTTCTAGTGGGGGAGTTGGCAAAGTGTTCTCTTCGTGTCTGACTCAGAAGTGTAGGGTGTCCGAAAATTCTTAGCGGCAGTAGGGGCTTTGAATAATATCAGTCGGTAAGACTTGGGTGAAGTAATTTATGGTAGTGGGTGGGACTTGGAATTCTTGAGGGATGTATTTTGTGGAGTTCTTATCTGAGAGAGACTGTCTGTTAAGATTTTTTTGAAAATACTATTGAATGGAAATTAATTAATTTCTGGCTAATTGTCGTGTCGCAATGATTAAGACTTTAAGAAAGGAAAAAGGAATTTTCACTGTCCAAGAGCTAATAGACAGACTAAAGGCATGAAATAGGCCCATTTTTTTAGTAACAGTATATGTCTGAAGACAATTAGCTTTTTACAATATATATAATTGAGTAATTACACTATATACAAATCTTACAATATATATATATACAGTAAGACCCCGCTTAACGCGGGGGATACGTTCCATCAAAGTAGAGCGTAATGCGAAACAGCGCTAAACGAGGCTATCTTTACATGTAAATATTGGGGTTAGGGGAAGATGGCTAGGAAATTGGTTAGGTATTAAATTTAAAAAGTATGTTTTTTTTTAATAAAAATAAAACCAAACATTTATTTCTTAAAGCCCAAATTAATACCACATTATTATTTCTTGCAAAAATAAAAACAAAATATAAATAACAAAACGAATATTCTTAAAAAAAAAACAAATAAAATTCTCAGTCAGTCAGTCATATTTAGTTAGCCTTCCGCGTTTTCAGTGTTCTGTTCTGCCTTTTTGTGACAAAAGCATCTAATGTTGTTTGCCTTTTTCTTTTGCGTTGTTTCTCTTAAAAGTTCTTCATAAACGGATAGAGCATCTCTAACACCACGCCTTACTTTTGAGCTCCTGTCAAAATTCGGATCATTTTCAATGAATTGATCCATTATTTCAGTTATGGTAGACAAACTCCTTTTTACAAACGCCATCGAAAGTTCTTTTTGCTCTTCTTCTGAATCACTGCTGTCAACATTTTTTTGTTTTCTTCTTGTTCAGTTAGTTAATTCCTTGAGCTCATCATTAGAAAGACTAGCCGCTGCTTCTTGAATTATTTCTTCGACATCTTCCACATTTACCCCTTCAAAATATGTCTGTACAATACCGCACCAAACAAGAAATACAAGTACACTCTTTCGGATATGTATTTGAAACCTATCGCTGCATAATATTTCGGGGAATCCCCGTATGCTGCGAGCGATTTCGTGGAATCCCCGGGTTGAAATAAAAGAGCGCTAAACCGAAACAACGTTAAGCGGGGTCTTACTGTATTCTGGTTTGAAATATTAAGTTTTATTCATATGGTTTGCCATATGGTTAAAAACTAATGGCTTGAGGTGCTGAAAACACTGGAGTCATCCCAGTTTGTTGTAACTTTGTTGTAGATGTTATAACTTTCTTTCTATCTCTCTCTCTTATTTGGGGGGGGGGTGTTGTGCATTCTTTGTTACAAAATATTCATGTATATTTACGTATCTTTGAACTATTTGTATTTCTTATATTAAAATTTTCTTAGCTTTCTACCAGCTCAGCTCGAAATATAGTAATAGTTTAGGCTTAATCTAATTTCCTTGCCTAATAGTCCTGACTTTTGCAGATTTAATGCATAAGCATATATTTAAATTTTCTATATTTATTTTTGTGATTTGATCTCAATAAAGAAATGTAGTTTGTGATGATAATGAAAATTTATTTAAACATTTTTTATGATGTTAAAAGATTGAGATTTTAACTAAGCTTTTGTTTAGTATGTGTGTAATTCCTATTTTTATCTTCTTCTGGGTATATGCGATATCAATAAAATCATATGCATTTGTAACATTTCCAAAATATGTGCTTATATTCAATATTCATGTAATTTTTTTTTTCTAGGATCAGATTACAGTATAGGAAGTTTCATAACATCTGGCCTAGATAAATTAGTATTCCATTCGTGTAACTATTGTTCATATCGCAGTTACAGAAAGGATCATATGAAAAGGCATTTACAAAGCCATACTGGTGAACGTCCATTTGTTTGCAGTATCTGTGGAAAAGCCTTTACGCAAAAGCATAATCTTAAATTGCATTTACTTTCACACTGACTATTAAGTATACATGAAAGAATCTTAAATAATGGTAGGAATTGAGTTTTCAGCTTTATGAAAAACATAAACTCATTCTTATATGAATGTCTTTGTGTAAAAAATACTACGAAAATAAAATTTTATCCATTTAACATAAGAAAATAATTTTGAAAAGTTGTGTATTACTTGTATTGTTATGTTAATTTTGTATTAATAAACCATTTGCAACTAAAACTGAGAATAGCTACTTGTTATTTACATTTGTTTATAATTTTCTTATATAAAATTTTTATTTTGGCCTTTTTTGTGTGTGTGCATTTTACCCTATTTAAAATATATGTTGCATTACATTTCATTATGAATATTGGCTTTACTTTTGATTTGACAAACTATATGTGTAGGGATGGTGTCTTTAATTTTCAGAAGAACAAATAATTTTAATATAAAAGATTTTAATTACCTCTGCTAATTTAGGCAAGACTGAAAAGTATCTAGTAGGCCAGATATAGTTTATAGTATTACTGTCAGATTTTACCACCTCCTGAAGACATTAAAAATCTGATCATGATAATTCAGCTATGATATTTTTTGTTTTTTAATGTTTTCCATGAATTTATTTTGAAATTTCTTTTAAATGTCAATCTTAGTTGAAGACTATTATTCTATTATTGACTATTATTCTCATACATATACTAAATTTGCAATTTTTTTTCATTTTCTTTAATAATTAAAAAATTTGTTAGTTTTGTTTATAAATTCATAAGATTGCTTGTGTGGTTATAATTTAACTTAATTATATATATATTTCTTTCATCTGTTTGAAAATGAATCAGTTTAAAATATTTATTTGCATTTTTTCAAATATGTGGAAGAGATGAAGCGCGATCATATTTCTTAATTATTAGTAATTTTATGGAGAAAGACTTAATTCCCTTTAAACAGTCAGCCTTTTTTGAATCAACAATAATTATTTTGTTTTATTATCTTATATTTTCTCCTAGATTTTTTATTTTTTAAAATTCCAGTACTTTAAAAATTCAAATACCTGTATACTAAGTTTTAGGTGATTGTTTTTAATATTCATTTCCAATGGGATAATCTTTATTAATAATTAAAATATATATATACACACACACGGACAAGCCAAAACCTTATGATCATCCCCACAATTTTTAATGAAATCATCTGGATGACGTGGAGGACCCATGATTAAGTGGGAATGGTAGTAAACTGCTGCTGGAGCAGGTAAGGAATTATTTTTGCACTTACCTTTGTGAGTTATGGGAAAGGCTGCTGATCTAAGTAAATTTGATTGAGGGCAAATTGTAATGGCCCAAAGACTCAGAATGAGTATCTCTGAAACTGCACAGCTGGTAGGTTGTTTACGATTTGCCATTATTAGTATTTATGCAAGGTGAATAAATAATTGTAAAACCAGGGATAGAAACTAAGATGTTGGATATCCATGCATCATCAAAGAAAAAGGATATTAGAGACTGTCTTGCTGGGTACAGCAAAATTGGCACCAGACAGTGGCTCAACTGGCAGCCCAATACAGTGCAGGTCCAAGTGAAAGTGCTTCAAAGCACACAGTTCAGCAGACTATGTTAGCTATGGGGCTGTGCAGCAGACATCCCACACTTGTGCCTCTGTTAACCAAGAGTCATGGTTAACTACACCTACAGTGGGCTAGGGAACATCGAGACCGAATCATGGATAAGTTGAAGAGAGTTGCCTGTTGGCTGAATCTCGATTTCTCATTCATCACATAAATTCTCATGTTAGTGTATGCTGTCTTCCAGGAGAACATTTCCTCCCCTCTATACAGCAGGTCATACACAGGCTGGTAATATTGTGCTTTGGGAGAAATTTGCATGGGTGACTCTGGGATCCTTAGTTGTGGTAGAATGGACCATGAAAGCTTCAGACTATCTGAACATAATTGCGGATCAGTTGCATCCTGACGTGGTGTCTGTCTTCCCAATTGGAAATGGAATCTTCCGGCAGGACAACGTCCTATGTCACAAGATTTTAATTGTGTTGGAGTGGTTTGAGGAGCATAAGGATGAATTCCAATTAATACTCTGGCCACCTAACTGTCCGAATCTTAACCCGATAGAGCACATTTGGGATGTAATGCAGTGGCAGCTCAGACTTCAAACGCAACCATGTCGGAATATTTCGACTTTGCATGACCACTGCTTAGACATTTAGTATAATCTGTCTCCAGTCATCTACCAAGAACTTGTGGCATTTATGCCAAGGCAAATTGCAGCTGTTTTGCAGGTGAAAGATCATGCAACACATTATTGAGTTGGTAGTCATCATAATATTTTAACTCATCAGTGTATATATATGTACACATACACTAAAGTTTATATATTTAAGTGCAGTACAAATTTTTAATGTGTAATCTAAGTAATAAATATTTGGCTCTCTTACATTCAAAATATGAATTTGTATGTTATTTAATTAAGAAGTGATTATCAGATTTAAAAAAAAACTTTAACTTAAAACTTAAACTTTAACTTAAAGAAAAATATGAGATATTTTTGCTTAAATTAATTTGAAAATGAGATTAGAAAAAATTTCCCAGCTTTATCGAATAAAAAAAAAATTTTTGACAAAAAATTTATTTGTATTAATCTATAGTAACATTGTGTGTAATAAATAAGTGATAGTTATAATATAATATATTTATAATTTAATGCTAATTTGCAAGAAATTTTGTTTGATTCTGTGCAATATATTTCCAATGTCCCACTAAATGTAGAAAATCAAAAGCAGCATTTTTAGCATTTTGCTTTTTTATTACTGAAAAGTTGAGTTATTCAAACAAAAAATAATTGTGTGATGAATATTGAGAAGATAAGTTGACAGAATGCCAGTGTTGGTCATGGCTTACAAAAATTTTTTCCAAGAATTTTTATATTGAATTTGCACCATGTTCTGGACAATCAGTTTCAAGTTGTAGACAAAGTAATAGTACTGACTGAAGCAAACTGCTAAATAACAACATGAGAAATCACTAAGAGATCACAGTTGTCCAATTAAACCATTTATGATTACATGGAAAGACTTGATTTTATTTCAAAGTTCCATATATTCTTAAAGAATGAGATTTGCTCTGTTATGCTGCCATTTTATTTTGTCTTACTTTTCAAAAATTTAAAAAAATGACCCAGCATTCCATCTGTGATCCATCTCTAATGTTAAGAAAATTATCCATTTTTGAAGCAAATCATAACTACTTATGAGAAACTGATTGTTTACAAAAATATCAAATGCAAGCGATCATGGAGCAGAAGAGATAAGCCAACTCAAAGCACTTCATAAGCCTGTATTCATCCAAAACAAAAGGGGGAGGTGCTATCTGTTTGATGGGATTTAAAAAAAGTTTTTTTTTTTTTTTTCTTTTTTTCTCTCTTTCTTTCTGGGTCATTTTTTTGCAGTCAAAGATCAGCACTTTTATGTGTGTGGAATCATGCTACTACCAGATAAATGGCAAAAGGTACTAAACAAAATAGTCAATATATAACTCAGGAAAAATTTTTCTACATTATATTGAAATTGCATTGCCCCCCCCCGAAAAAAAATTACTTTACGGACAGCCCAAAGTTACAGAATAAGTCTCAAACTGTTTAATTATACAATAATTTTTCCCACTGTGTGTTTTAAAATTAAAAGTTCAGAACTTTTAAAGGAGCCAAAATCTTCTATTTAGCCTGCTTTTAAAAGAACTTTTTTGATAGCATCATTTTATATTAATGTCCTGTCACTTTCCAGGATTTTTAATTATTCAGGCTTAATGCATCATTTTTAGACAATATTTATAATTACTCTAAAAGTTATTTGGTACATTTGGTGAACTGTAAAAGCAAAATTTTCTCTTTTTAAGTAAAAATAAACCTATCTTGCCCTTACTTTTAATGTAGTTGAAATCCATTAAATACTTTTATCTTAAATGAGCAAATGGTTAGAATTAACAGCATAGTTTTTTAATATTTCCATATAAAATTCAATATTTAAATTTATGTAAATGAGTTTTATAACCATGAAATGCTTATAAAACTTATAATCTTTATATATGTAAATGAGTTTTATAAGCATGATATCCTTATTTATAAGCATATCTTTTAGAAGGTGAAACACATTCTTTTTTTATCCATTCTGATACCTCTGACATTCTAAGTGTAATTCATTTTATCTAATAAATTTAAATTAATTTCTATTGTTTTTTTAGAATCACATCACCATGGAAATGAAAAAAGTACTGTCAAAAATATAATGGCATGCATTAGGACTTTACATTCACTATTGTATAGTGTGTACAAGAAGATGGTACCTATGATTGTGAAAAATGGAGATGCTATTAAAGTAGGCTAATGTTATGAAGGGGATGAAATCAAAGATGAGAGACATAATGAGAAATTCCTTTTGATCCAGATAACAGAAAAGCATTTATGTACAGTATTTCATTAATATATGGTATATGTTTCACCCGCTGCATTTGTATTTTAGTATTAAATGGTTTAAGTGTCTTTTCTTTATTTACATAAAGTTTGGTGGAAGCCCAAGCATCTGGAATGGATTAATGATGTATTCCAAAGTTACATCATACTTTTAAATTGCTGTTAAGAAATTATGGTCATACAGTACAACGTCCGTCATCTGGACGTCCATTATCCGAAATGATCTATAATCCGGACCTCAAAGCCACAAACTTACGCATGCGCATAAAACCAGTAAAACATTTACACATGTGCGCTTCCGATAGTGAACAAAGTGACAGAGAGTTTATTGAAAATTAAAAAATTTCAATTTACAAGTTAGTCGGTATTCCCGACACAGCAATTACAAGATTTGAACTGTGGAACTTTCAAATCCTGTAATTGCTGTGTCGAGTGAACAGTGGTAACTGAACAAGAAATAATGTCTGTTTATAGTAGAGAGAATTAAAAAGAAAGTATTAGCACAAAAACGAAGCAACTTAAATAACTTACATTGAAAGTAATGTTTAATAAAGTAAACAAATAAATATTAAGCTTCTTTTTGTAAATTTTGATACCCTTTAGATCATAATTGCTCTTTATTTCATAAATTACGGTTTCATATTTTTAATTATATAATTTCTGCATGCCATCTTACCAGATTTAAATTTATGATCTATAATTCGGAAAAAACCCTAATCTGGAATCACCGAAGTCCCA